GGTTGGGGGGAGACTAAAGACCACAGTGTACGAGAAGCCAACCGACGCTGGCGCAGTTTTGAACTACTCATCTGCCCATCCGAAATCGGTATTCGCCAGTATTGCGTCATCAATGTTTAGACGCGTAAGGGCCCTGTGCACAGAAGATGATCGGACAGCGGCCCAAATTGAAGTAAAGGGCAAACTTCGGGGTAGTGGGCATCCAGCTAGCTTGTTTAAGCGCCAGTTGCGAAGAGTGCTGTTACCGGTAGGGAAACCCAACAGGGAATGGATCGGGACCGCTGTAATCCCATATAAACCAGGGACATCGGCCGCAATTCGAAGAATTTTAAACACAGCTAACATAAGAGCAGCTTTTCAAAGGGGAAACACTGCGCTCTGCACTGGGGCAATTGAAGGACCGCCTCCAGGCAAACATAACCAGGGACTGTTCTAAAAAATTAAGTGTGACGACAGCACTAATGGTCTACATGGGAGCTAGGGAACTTCACATCAGAATCAGAGAGCATAATAGGAAAATAAACAGGCCGCCGAGAAACGCAGATGGATATCAAGCGTTGCTGAAAGACTCGGAGATTGCGGAGCATGTACTGGCACGGGACACAAAATAGATTTAGCCAATGTTGAGGTTTCGAGGTGAGGACTACAGTTCACGTCACAGAGACTGATGGTCGAGGCAGTAGAAATCGCCAGAATAGAAGGCGTGGGACTGTCGAATGTGTGGAGAATGGTCTTGGATCAGTCGAGCTGACGAGTGTTGGTGTGCGAGTATCAGAGGGAGGAATGCTCATCATCTGAATTGCACTTAACCTCACTCAATTTCCCTCCCTCAACTAAATCGTCTTAGTACTCATAAGCCCACAAAACCAACGAAGTCTGTCAGGGGCACCTGCGGTAAATCATCCATTGAAGCTGCCTGAAGTGGAAGACTAAGGAACCCAAATCGATCGGGACTAATTTCAAACTCCTCCAACCTGTAGTGTCTGCAATCCGTTGTCACATTTACCATTCTTCCTGAACTTGAACCACACTCTGTAACTGTCGTTCACATTGTATCATGACGTTTGTTTTAATGTTACGAATACAC